TCCCTCCGTCTGCCCCTCCATCCCTCCGTCTGTCCCTCCATCCCTCCGTCTGTCCCTCCATCCCTCCGTCTGTCCCTCCTGTCCCTCCTGTCCCTCCATCCCTCCGTCTGTCCCTCCATCCCTCCGTCTGTCCCTCCATCCCTCCGTCTGTTCCTCCATCCCTCCATCTGTTCCTCCATCCCTCCCTCCTGTTTATAGCAACAATAATACCGCACAGCTCAAAGAAATAAGAATAACATTGTTTTCAAAGTAACAGCCAATTAGAATAAACTTTCCTTTTCCTTATTTTTTAATAAGAAAAAAAATTATTTAACTGTAAAAAGCATGACCTCTTATTGGACAAAAGAATTCTGATCCTTGGCGAACTCCCCTGAGATGGGAGTGGTAATTTAGCCGGTGTTTCTCTTTTGCAGCATAATATAAAAAGTGTCATGGCGATCCTGTGTATGGGCTTGACTTAAATACAGCAGAGAAAGAGAAGGAGAACACACACAAGCAGAGGGCAGAGGCGGGACAGGCATTTTGGGGTTGATCAAGCGTGGCCGGTGTGGCTGGTGTCTATCTTCCTTCCCTGGTAAGCTTGCCTGGAGCCTTGGAAGTTTCCTCAGGACCCAGGCCATGTTATAATGTTAATAACATCTAACATTTGCTAAGCACTTACTATGGACCATGCACGTTTTATGTCTTTTTTTTTTTGAGGTAGGGTCTCACTCTGTTGCCCAGCCTGGAGTGTAGTAATACAATCATAGCTTACTGCAGACTTGAACTCCTGTGCTCACGCAATCCTCCCACCTCAGCCTCCCATGTAGCTGGGACCAGGCACATGCCACTATGCCCAGCTAATTAAAAAAATTTTTTTTAAAGACGGGGTCTTGCTAGGTTGCCCAGCCTGGTCTCAACCTCCTAGCCTCAAGCAAAATGCCCACCTTGGCCTCCCAAAGTGGGCCACTGCACTTGGCCGTGTTTTACAAGCCTTTACATGCATTGTGTCATTCAATTTTCTGTAGCATGACAGAGCCGCTCTAGGCAACCCCCAGAATCTGGGGACTTGGCTAAGTCTGTCTGCTCCCAGCTCACGTCTGCCTCCTATCGCCTCCCTCTGCCTCCCGCTCCGCCTGGCCCTCCCCGTCCTGAAGCCTGCGTGCTCGTGCTCGCTCTGCTTTTCCATCTCCAGTTCTCACCCTCCAGCTCTCTGTTTCATTTCCATCCTCTTGGGGCAAAGCTGCTTCAGGCCATTCTGCCAGCAATGAGTTCCCGTTGTCCAACTCTGGAAGCTTCTCCTTGGCTGTAGGGCTCTCCTACAAAGCACCTCCTCCTATGGGAGCAGCAGATAAATCATATTTGAAAAATAAAATAACGCTGCATATAAAAAAATAAGCAGCCAAGACATAGACAAATAATTATTTTTAAGGGCTGTGACTACGGAGGCATGGCTGGGAAATTTACAAACAGGCCCACCAGAACGTATTGTCTCCTGTTTATGCCCTGAGTCCAGAGGTCTGCGTTACTAAATTACAAGGGAAAAAGTTTAAATGAGGTCACGAGGTGGGATAACATCAAATTAAAATTGTGCTCTTTTCCTTGGTTCCTCCCTTTGGTTAGCCCAACTGCAAAGTGAGTGTTGACTTTGTCATCTTCTAAAATTCCATCTCTGTGGGTGCTTGTATTTCTGGAACATTCACCAAAAATAATAAGACTGAACTCCCTCCCCTGGTGTTAATTCTGGGTTGTTTGGGAACCTGGCTTATCGGAAGGAGTCGGTCTCTGGACTTTCTAGTAAAGGGTGAGTATAGATGTGTGGAAAAGGGGGTGCTGTTCCTTTAAATTCTGAAAGTGAACTTGGCTCAGGAAGGCCAGCAGCTCAAGGTCCAGCCCCTGGAAGAGAGAATAGCTACAGATTCTCCATCCTCAGCCTCTGCAAGGCGACGGCTGTGCCAACCGGGTTCTGGCAGGCTCCTGGCAGCATGGCAGTGAAGCTTGGGACCCTCCTGCTGGTCCTCGTGCTGGGCCTGGCCCAGCCGGCCTCTGCCCGCCGGAAGCTGCTGGTGTTTCTGCTGGACGGTTTTCGCTCAGACTATATCAGTGATGAGGCGCTGGAGTCATTGCCTGGTTTCAGAGAGATCGTGAGCAGAGGAGCAAAAGTGGATTACTTGACCCCAGACTTCCCTAGCCTCTCATATCCCAATTACTATACCCTAATGACTGGTGAGTACCATGTGCTCTTCTGGGCAGGGAGGGGACGGCTGGAGTCCAGCAGGGAGCAGGGAGCTCCTGGCATCAGAGTCTTATGGAAATGCTCTGGGTTCTGTACTCCTTTGGGACGTCAAAGGTAGATAGGAAATTTGCGATCTTGGCTGAGAAGACGTTTGTTTTCGCGGTTATATTGGTTCCCAAAAGTCATCCCAAGGACCTGTCTTGGGTTCTCAGTGTGGAGGACAGAGGACGACAGAAATAGATGATATTTGATGATATTAAAAGTGGTTGTTTATTTTAGAAAGAGAAATTCTAACGAACTCCATATTTTCTAAGTTCAAGTTTGCGAAATCAACAGATCTTCATGCATCCGTCCCAAGTTCCTTCTGTCCCTTTGCTCTGCGGTCATGTCATCCTGGAGTCCTGAGGGCTTGTTTTTCGGTGTGTTAGACTGTGAAACTACCTTTGGGCCCTCAGAGGGGAGGAGTGCTCCTGCATTACGTGGGGAAGAAGGGGATTTTTAGGCCATATCCTTCCCTGTACCTTAGCAATGCCACCGTCCCCTTCTTTTGCCTTTTTTGGCCAGGTAAAATGATACGGAGAAGAAAAAAGAACTGTGTAGTTCAGGGTCCCATGTATGATTTGCAGCATCTGTGAAAGACCAACCAACAAAAACTCAGCAAAACAAATAAACCCCAGCCGACCCCGACTGCCTGGGCTTGGGGTAGCTGGTTTTCCTAAGTACAGCCTTCGGCTGGAATTGCCAGAACTCCAAAAGTGACTCCATGAACCTGAGCCTCTGTCTGCCATAGAATGTGCAGCCGTCTCCCTGCTCACAGAGTTGGGTTCCCAGTTTCTGGTTTGTTTTTCAGCTAACCTTTGTAAGGGCAGCGAGAGGCTCCTAGAAAGAATTTAGCAAACTATCCAGGGACGCTCTTAAGAATGCACTGTTATTGCTGGTTATGCGAGACTCAGCTCTGTGCTCTGAGCACGGGGAGAGCTCTACCCATTATGTTAACAGAAAGAGAATGAGATCTCTGATATCTCCTTATGGATCTCCACAGAGCACTAAAGCTGAAGGAATCTGAAACACACATTTATATTTCTGACTCTGTGCATAGACACTATATACACATGTATGTAAAAATGCCGTAAACTGATGCCCCAAATTGAAGAGAAGAGATACTTTGGAGAAATAAAAGTGAAGGCGTGAAAGAGAAAACAATTCAGACGGCACACCAGCAAGGAAGTTATGTATTTGTTTTTTATTTCCACAACAAACACAAAAAAACCAGCCTCTAAGATACACAGAATTAACAAAAGTCTCTCGCCTCCTTGGCACGCCTCTCCCTTTGCAGGGAAGCGGTTTGCAGGCTGCTGGGTCACACATAGATGCGATTGTGTGCATGGTGGACTCCAGCTCTGCACAGCGACTTCACACACGCAGCCCACCCCCACTCCAGCTGTCTTTCAGAGCCTGCTGGGGGACCCGATTCATAAACTGCCACGCCACGTGCAGCTTCTGCAATCTCAGTGGAAAATGAACAAAATCCATTTTAGAAAGGACTCCAGTGAGTAAAAGGACCATTACAGATTCCACAGAGACACTAAGCCTTTTGTTTGTGAGACCCACACTCCTGATATCGACACAAGGGATCATCTGCACACAGCCTCCGTCGTGCTTAGACACACCTTCGTTTCAGGCTGTGGGTGTTTCCCCTTGGCTTGTCCTGAGAGAAGAGTCCCTTCCATTAGGGGCAGCACAGGTCCCGTGAGTGTCTGGCAAAGATCTCAGCCTCGCTTTCAAACTGAGGCTGGCCCGAAGAAGCCACAGGTCTCCATGTGTGTTCATTCTCTGTATTTCAGATGGCCAAATGTGTTCACTGATGTGAAAGTCGGCTTGGTCTGTATGTTGTCTTTTTCTGCTTTCTTAGAAGCTACCCTGCACATGGGAGGTATCTAGCCAGGCTCATGTTTATGTACAAATGTCCTTGGGGTCCTTCGGTGTGATTTGTCCTGTACCCATTGGGCAGACTTACAGACTTGAAGCAGAATTCCCAGGCTGGGAGATGCCAGGCCATGCAGCTGGTGCCATCTCCAACTGTCTTGGAACTGACTCAGGTTAAATTTAGACTATTTTCCCCAATATCCATACTTATTTTTCTGCCTGATACTGAACACCTCCTCTTTTATTCATATAAAGAAGGATCTAGCCATTGGGAATTGTACCTAAACATATGGTTTGAGCATTTGAGCGTTTTATAAACCAACAAAATTGCTATGCTAGATCTTTTTGGTACCAAAAGAGATGCTGTTTTAGGGTTCCTCAGAATTCATAAGAGACGCTATGCTCTCACTTCATTACCTGAATTATTGCGCATAAGACAGAAAGCCCTTGGTGTTCTTCCCCTTGCATAAGGAGGAGTGGTGTGTTGTTGGAAAGAATGCTGGCCTTTGAGCTGGGAGAACTTGCTTGGAGACTTCAGGCAAAATAAAATGAGATGAACTGCCGGGGCTGTATCGGGCCGAGATTTCAGGTGCTGCTGGATGCAGATATAGAACTAGGCAATGCGTGGGGAATTTTACTTTATTTTACTTGAAGTTCTGGGATACCTGTGCAGAATGTGCAGGTTTGTTACCTAGCTATACACATGCCATGGTGGTTTGCTGCACCCATCAACCCGTCATCTAGGTTTTAAGCCATGTATATACTAGGTATTTGTTTTAATGCTCTCCCTCCCCTTGCCCCCCAGTCCCCAACAGGCCCCAGTGTGTGATGTTCCCCTCCCTGTGTCCATGTGTTCTCATTGTTCAACTCCCACGTATGAGTGAGAACATGTGGTGTTTGATTCTCTGTCCTGTGTTAGTTTGCTGAGAATGATGGCTTCCAGCTTCATCCATGTCCCTGCAAAGGACATGAACTCATCCTTTTTTATGGCTGCATAGTATTCCATGGTGTAAATGTGCCGCATTTTCTTTATCCAGTCTCTCACTGATGGGCATTTGGGTTGGTCCCAGGTCTTTGCTCTTTGATCTGGGAATTTTAAAGTTAGGACTGACCTCTCCTAGGAGGCCTTCATGTAGAAATTATATGCATGGCTGAAACTCCGTTGAGAGGGAGAATTTCACAGTGATGGGGATGGGGAAGTAACAGGCCGATTTGTGAGCAACTTTGAAACCATCTAGCCCAGTCACTGCCACGAAGCCACCGTGGCTGATTATTTATTTCCCTCAGAACATGTTTAGGACAAATGTAAGCAAAATGCCAATCATGACCATGAATATCAATCAGTGGATTACCGGGAACGCCGAATCTTAAAACTGGCTTTTCACCCAGGGAGATTCCATTCAAGTAGGGGAGGAAGGACCCTTGGGAATGGGCGCTATTCTAAAGTGCACGGCAAGGTGTTGTGAGCCCAAATGTGTCCTCATCCTCCTGTCCCCCAGTTCAAGTTGGGGTTCCGACCCCCAGCACCTCAGCATGTGACCACATTTAAAGCTAAGGTCTTTGAAGGTGATTAAGTTAAAGCAAGGCCATTAGAGTGGGGCCCTATTCCAATAAACGGCATTGGAAGGCGCAGAGACACAGGCACGCGCATGTGCAGAGGAAAGGCCATCTGAGGACACGGAAGAGGCCCTCGAGGGCTGCAGAGAGGGGCCCAGGAGACACCAACCCTGCTACCGCCTCGCTCATGAGCCTTCAGCTTCCAGAACTGTGAATAAATAAATTGCTGTTGTTTTAGCCACTCCATCTGTGGCACTTTATAATGGCAGCCCAGGCAAACGAGTATACAAAGAATAGGGGATAGTGTCCCAGCGTGCTACAGAGGGCCAGGGGAGGGGAGGCATCCCTCCAGTTGTGGCGGCGTGAAAAGACATTTTAAAGAGGAGAGCTCTGAGCTGGAAGAAACAGCCACCGGCCTGGCGTGTGTCCCTACGTCTCGCTTCAGGCATAAGCTCTCTTTCTGAAGAGGGGCATGCGGATCCACTTCATTCTGGTGAAAACACAACAGTTTAAACACCGTTGGCATGCTTTCCATTTTAGTCTATCTTACTGTGGATCTTTGCGCAAAGTTCTTCTCTCTTTGGGGTAAATTCACATTTGATTGAAGTGAAGTTTAACATAAAGCCAAGGAAAGAAAGCAGCAATTTGTTGAATCTAGGTCATGGGTAAGAGGTAAGTGCTGCCTCTGTTTTGAAGCAGCATAACTTAGCATCGTTTTGCTAAGGCTAATGGTAACAATTCTGGTTAGGCAGCTGGGGAAAGTGGCCCAGAAACCTTCTGAGTAGCAGGGAAGCCAGTCTGGAATTTTATCTTTACTGCCGGTAACCTACCAAGAGATGAACAGATGCTGAAATCAGCTTGTTCCACAGTATATTATTCTTTCAACGTTTAGACACTAGTAAACAAAGTACAAGGAGGTTGAGTGTTTTGTTTCAGGCACCAAAGAATGTCGTAGCAGAGCTGAGATGGGAGAGTAGGCATGGAGACCCCATTCTCACCCAGCACCTGACCAGGGCCCAGGCCTGCGTCTTGGAGTGGCCAGAAGATTGTGCACGTGACCTGAGACCCAAGGATAGAGATCTCCCCAAGACAGTCTAGGAAGCAGCCAGAGACAGAATCATGGTTCTCCGCTATGGAAATTAAGGTCACAGCAGGGATGTTAACTACTCAGAATTCCCGTTTGTGCCAAGGTATTTTGTCCCGCACTCCTAGAAATTACCTGTGACACAAATTCTTACCAGATACCGAGACTCCAATGTTCTGGAGTAAAACAGCAGCGTCAGGTATACTTCCTACCACCCCACCTTTTAAGAAAATCTCGGATTTAAATGCAAACTGGACCAAAGGCAATCAAGCTGTCGTAGCAGCTTCCTAGAGCTTTCTAGAGCTCTGTAACAAATTTGGACCCCAAAGTCAGAAATCCGGGTGTGCGATGGGATCTTTGAATAATCATGTTTTGAGAAAGCTCACATCCTCAGCCTTCTGCAGAATTCAGGCTTCCTTTGAG